TTTGTCTTTGTGAAATCGGAAGCAAACGTCATAGTTTGACACTGTAGAGATGAATGCAACGAAACCTCTGGATTCTATCTCATATTTTAGAGCCTGACTGAAGATGATTTATGGAAATATTTTACATTTATTTATAGTTTTAAGAGTTTTAGAGAGCTTATTTGTATGAAAAAAATCAAGATTATCTATTATATAAAATCTCAATGGTACTCTATACTGATTTTAAGATTAATATATTTGGACTGTTGTAGTTACAGTACACGGGATTTGTCTCCCTATTTAATAACTTTTTGAATGAAGGTGAATGTGTATAGACTGTGTACATATATTTTTATTACCCTATTTGTTTCCATAAGTGGTATTGTAAAGCAGCAGTTTGGGGCTTAAAAACATGTTGGGCAGCAGAAATATGCCACTGGTTAAATTATTATATCAACAAAAAGCATATTTTTTTATGGGTAGTCATGAAATTTGGCACCTTCTGACTGTTTCAGATTAGCTTAGCATGACATGCTAAGTTAGATAATTGTCGGCATGCTGCCTCTATAAGAAAGTATTGAGGTATTTATTTCTCAAAGACAAATATTCACACTACAACATCTTTTGTAATTAAAAAATCTCATTACAACCACAGACAAGCACACAACGTCAGCAGTGGAACAAATGTTAGCATCACGCCTCCTTTAGCCGTGCGGCTAAACATGCTAACGTGGCTGTTAGCTTGATTTAAGTCTGGTTTTGCTGACTTTCAGAGCAATGGTCAGAAAAAATGTTTAGCCAGTGACAGCCACTCTGCCTCCAAAGCATGTGTGCAAATAATAAAGCTCCCTTTTATGCGGCTCATTTTGAAACGTTAGCCTGCTAATGCTACCAGGCTAATAAGCTAACTGTCACTCTGAAGGACAATTCAAACATTTCTTTGTGTTGTTTAAGGTTTTTTCCTTCTTTGCACTAAAAGAAAACAACCTATAATGGCACCCGTAAAACAGTATTTTAGATCTTAAGTCAAGTTTTCTCCCTCACAAAGATCCCTTGACCATAACAGTCCAGAAAAATAGCTTTTTGGACAATTTTGGGAACAGTTTCAGTGCGTAAAAGGTGCTGTTCATTAGGTGCTATCTCATAAACTGTGCACAGAGTTGTAATGAGGAGAAAGGGAGGAAAATCAACTGAAATGCTGTAAAAAATCAATTTAAATCGTCTGTCCTTTTTATCTTTTTCTTGCTCCATCTTCACTCTGACATTTTAAAGTGTGAAATCTTAGAGTCAAATCTACGTAAAAGCCATGGAAATGAGGAATGTCAGACTCTATAAGTGATTCAGAAGGAGCTGAACATTGTATTGTACATGAACATAAATGGTTTATTGAGATTTATTATGATGCAATATACATTCTGAATCCTCTGCGAAACGCTGAAAACCATGTAAATAATCCCCACTTAGCATATTTGCCTTAGCTTTTCCTTTTCCCTGATCTGTGCTGTCTAACTGAGGTTTAAAGGAGTACCAGATGTGTCACACACTGCTGATTGATTGATTTGCCACTTTTATGCTTTTAACTGAATGGTTAGAAGAGCA